TTAGCAATGCAGATACCCAGAAGAATAGCTCTTGCCTATATAAGCCCACATTAGAGGATGCAATACCCAAAATAAATCATCCCTTCCTCATACAGAGTTCATGCCAGCCCTCAGCCACAAATGCATATTTATAGCCCAATTTGCCAGCACCTGGAAACAGGTTTCTTTTGAGGATATATTGCTAACTACCTTCCCCATTCCCCAACAGCAAAGGCATAAACAAAAATGGAAATGAAAGCAATGTTAAAAGCTATTAAAATCAAAATTTGGCAGGTACCCAACCACAGCATTTCTAGACAGATTTGGAAGACAGCCCTTCAAGTAGACAATAGTCATTAAGGAAAGAGATTTTTCCAGTCATTCACTCGGGAGTTGGCTGCTACACATGCAACTGCAATGGCAGGGGCACTGTGATCCCCAGATTATCAGAGACCAAACAGGAAATGCTTCCTGCTTTGGGGTAGGACCTACTTGCTTTAGCTAAGGGTCTGATTTCACATGAATCTATGTGAAATCCTTACATGAAAAGGATTTGAACCCTCTTGACTGAAAGTGTGTGTTGTGCCAGCAGTATGATGGGTGAAGGAGGGGTGCTCTGAGTATTAAGTGCCATTGTTCTCATTTTACAAAAAATCTTCCTGTACCCCAGCAATTGCCCAAGTGACTTGGAAAGCTCATGAGAACTGAACCATCCCTCCTGAGCGAGGACACTAGCCACTGGATCAACCTGCCTCTTTCTGCCCATCTCTCAGCCTGGGATTTTAAGCTGTGAAAGGTCTCCCCATTGCTTTGCAACCTCAGAAGGCGATAGATAACAGTAACTCTTCCACTAGTTGCAGAAATGAAGGTTAAGCTTAGCCTCTGAACTTGTCTGTCCCAGTTGGGGTAAGAGAATCCAACGCTCAGAGACAGGCTTTCAAAGAAATTAAACGTGATTCTGGTGCAGCTACATGAGATCAAAGTAAAGCTATGCCATGTTATCCACACCCATCTCACAGAAGCTGCAGCCTATTTGCAGTCAGTTACATCGGGATTGGGTGCATGCTGGTTTTTATTAAGGGGGAAATTGTTAGACTTATCTCACACTTGACAAATAAACACCGCAAAACTCAACCCTCCTTGGTGGTTCTCACACTGTTGCTGTGCAGGCTAACTTATGAAGTACCTTTCCCAGAATGCCTACTATTTAAGGACAGGAAGGTCATGCACTTTAGAAAATCTTATCCTTAGACAACTCGGCAACCATCTGCACAGCAGCATGGAAACCATACTACATTTTCCTGTGAACAGAAGGCGCTTTGGACTACTTAATATGCCAATACTGCAAAAAGAGGTAGTACCAGGACTTCTTAGAGGAAAAAAACCTCTCAAAATAATTTTTCCCAAAGAAATGAGCCTTTCTTACTGCTAAATTTCAAAATCCCTCACCCATCAAGGTGGCTCTCCCATTTTCCCCACGTTCTCTGCCCCAAAGTCTGAGGCCAGATAAATCTCAGAGCCACAGCTACTTGCATTAAGGGGCTGAAGGCTCAGCATTTAGAAGAACCCTAAAGAATTCTAGCAATGCAGAGACTTGCAGTGCTTGCCGATACTGTTCCCACACCACTGAGGCTTTGTCAGCTTTCCTGACAAAGGCCATGCTGCTAACCCACCCTGCAAAATACAGTTTGAATGTGGAGACTTTATTCTTTGCAGTACAAAGGGGCCATGCCTGGTATGGAAGAGACCTCACACCAGGCTCCTCTTGTCAGGAATACAGGAAGACAGAAAGGGCTGAGCCAGCCTATTTATGCAGAGGATCCATGAGGAGTGAAGGGGAGGGGCAGGGATCAGACCAGGCATTTCCTCGTGTGTTTCCCCTTCCCCCCAGCACCTTGGTTTTACAGCTGCAGGAAAGATCAAGCCAGAACTGTGCAAAATTGCTGAGTCAGGCTATCGCTGTGGGGCCTGAGAGAGGCTGTCCGACGCTTAAGCCAGCGGACAAAGCCTTGTGATAAGGCAGAAAGCTGAGCAGACAGAAAGGCACTGCGGGGTAGAGACAGTCAAGGGCTGTGATGCACCCACTGCAGGCACGAGCAGGATTCCCCAGGCTGAAGGTACATAGTGTAGCCCTGACGGGGAAAGGGAAGAACCAGAAGCACTTTGCATTAGGAGAACTGGAAAGAGGATGCAGGTTAACCCTACGAGAAGTATTTAGCTAGTCCTGGCTGTAAGCACAACAAAGGAGGCCAGAAATGCACATGGGTGCTTCCGTGAGCTCCCCAGCAGCCTCCTCAATGTACAGCAGGAGTCCCTAACAATAAGAACAATGCCCCAAAACACGCCTCAGGCAGTTAGGAGGTCTCTGTTGCCACAGAGTTCAGGCTCCCGCATCGCCCACGCTTCCAGTCTTATCTGGAAAGCAGCCCGCCTTTACCCCTGCAAGGAAGAGCCACTGTTCTGGGCAGAACTTCAGCTGCCTTAATCAGATGTTGAAGTCAGTGAGGTGAGGGGTTAAAAAACCTGGCCTCTGGAGCTAGACAGGTAACAGGCATTTTACATCCCTTCTCTTCCCAAAGACCCATATATCAGCAGTGTGTTAACCCTGAACTCTCTGGGCCAGAGCACCTGCAACAGTGTGTGGTCAGCATGTTTCAGAGCTCTTACTGCTCAATTCCTGCAGGACCAGGCATGGTCACAGACACCTGAGCCACCAGCACTTGGCTGATGCTTCCTCTCCTCAGTCTTCCTCACCCCACCCCAAACAGCTCCTAGTTGCTCCACTGCATCACAAAGCTGCCTAGCACAGCAATGATCAAAGTAATTTCTGTACGCGGCTTTAAGAAGGAGTATCTTGTAGTTGTCAGCTCTGCATTCTCTTCCCTGTGCTGCCACGAAAAACTGGGTGCCTCCAAGCCAGATGTTAAGTCTCTCTCAACTCAGCCTTCTTGGCACAACAGCTCAAAAAGACACTGAAAAATCTGTTAGTAAAATGCTACAGGCAGGATCTGCCCCTTCATTAAGGCACACGGCTAAGGCAGTTTGACTGGACTCCAGAGAGGAGCTGCAAGGAGCACTCTAACACTACCACAGACTTCAGCTAAGAGCAGTGCTGCATCACCACTGCACTGCTGCTGCCAAAGTACTCATTGCTCACTCAAATGAGGGGATAGATGCTGCTACCTTCAGTCTGAAATCTTACGTTGCGAGGTGTCCATTAACCTCAAAGCTCTTCGCCTCAGACCACAAACTAGTTATTCTTGGCAACTGCGGCAATTTGAATAACACGGTAGGAAAAAAATAAGGAAAGAACACATCAGTGGAACCGGAGCATGCCTTGGCAGCAGAATAGTGTTGTAGATTTCGTTTCCATAAGAATCAAAAACTAAGTATTAGTGTCACCCTAGTAGAAGTATTCAGCTAGCTCTTGCTAAGTTAGCTATGCCTCCAGTTACAGATTGGCAGATGATTACTGATAAGGCCCATTTAGTTAGATACAAACAGGTAATTACTGCTACAGAGGTGCATTCAACATCATTATAAAAAGCATCATCTCCTCCAAATGCGGTCTCAGCACAAATCCAGCCAGCATTTCAGCACAGTAGCTAAAGACCTGGGCTTACAGCAGCTCTCCTTTCTCCCTCCAAGCCTTAGTTTCCACAGACTCCGCTCAAGTTACTGGCCATGACTGCAAATGGCCCAGGAATTTAGGATGCACCGAGAGGTGTCCCACAGAAACTCTGCCTCATTATACGCATATGAAATGCCACCAATACCACAGTGCTTAAATCAGGCCTGTAGCAGTCAGCCAGTGGTTCTACAAATATTACGCTTGACCCACAAAGCAAGACCAAACCAGTTTTAACACACTACTATCCTGGCTTAATACAAATGGGGTTGACAAGCCCTTTGATATCTACTCTGGGGTTTCTCCCAGCTTAGTTGTATGAGCAAATGCTAAAAGTCTTTGGTGTTTGTGCTCACCTTGGCTTACTTCAACATTGTGACCGCCTTCCTCTTCCAGAGTGCTTACAGACACCCTTGTGTTTCAAAGGAAAAGGGAGCAGGTTGAAGGCCTATGCAAATCTCCCCAAACAGATCAATCTAACAATACCTGTGTATTTTAGTCAGTTGTTTCCTTAAAACAAGGGAGAATAGACAAGGGCATAGCTTCCCGAATTCACTAAAATGAGGGGGAAAAACACTGCATATGATCTGCACCCTTACTAAGAGAGTCTGATACTATTAGCTGGCACTGGTCTGAGGCACTTGGAACTTCAACTCTGTGAGAGAGTTAAAAATCTTCAGAAGAAATGTTTTACTTTGTGGAAAGTTTCAGTTTTGGTCAGAAAGACAAAAGGCCCGTGAACTGAAATGTTTTGCTTGGCAGATGAAGAACAGTTTTTAAGAGGGAGATGTCTAAAAAAGTCAGGAAGCTTTAAGCAACAAAAACTTACTGCTTCTGCTTATTTCAGTGGAGCTACGCAACTGTACCCTAAAGCAGGATTTAGTCCTCTAGCTTACTCTAAAGGTAAAAAGAAGAAAACACTGCTCTGGAAGATGAAAACCGTTGCTAGAAAATTCTCCACGCTTTAAGGATGGGTAGAGAAATGGGTGTGGAGAGGTTCTCCTAGAGCACCGTAAGGCAGCCTAAGGGGCACTGACACACATCTTCCAGTGACTGTACTTACTGCCAGATCCATTTACCTCCCCTATCTAATATATTTTAGCAGTGCTGCCTGGTTGAAGTTCTCTATCTGTAAAACATACTCGTTATTTCTTCTTTCCAGTTTATTCAGCATCATTAATAACTAAAAATAAAACCTCACACTGGAATCTGCAAGCCTCAACAATAGCCCACACACAGAGCAGCAATGAGAAGCTCAAGACTTCCTTTCTAAATTTAGATTGCTTCAAACAGAAGTGAAAGTTCTTTGATAAATCGACAAACCCATGTTTTACAAGCACATAAGGAGAGTAGAGCTGCACAGTAAAGTGCTTGCCTGCACTGTTAAACTTACCTGCAAAAGGCTTCTGAAGATCTTCAGGGACCCAGACCCGAGGCTCCTGGCTGCATTCTGAAAACTGTAGTCAATGACCTGTTTCGGCAGCGTCCGATCAGAGCCTGGATCTGCAGCAAGATTCCTCAGTGTCACGTTAATCACTGCTCTGCAGTGGATCTCACAGCTTCTGCTATTAGAGCTCTTCCATTTGGGATAACTAATAATCATCATATCAGAGGCACTCTGTAGCCCCTGATCAAAGCATCATTCCTTATTCTACTGACTAAGTGTCCTGTGATTCTTCTCTGCTTCCCCAAGACGCACACAGTACCAATTAGATTTTCTTTCTAGGCAGAAAAGGAACGACAGAGATCTGGCCTCTGTTCACTTTAGAATACGTTCTTGAGAGAAAAGACAGCTGTATTTTAACTTTAAATCCAAATTTAAAAGTACCAAAAGCAAGATGGAGGCAGTGGGTCCAATTCTGCCTGCAGAACCCAGAAAGCAGACATAGAGTCTCCCTACTGAAATGTAAAATGGACCCTACTGAAATGACCAGGACATCCTGGTCAGTGGCTTGTTTTGCACTGTGAGGGCCAGGGCAGCCTTTATCTCTGTGTGAGGGGAGGGTTCAGAAGATGACACACTCACAGAAAAAAATTCAAGGCAATGACAAGGAGTCACCAATCTTATTCTTAGACAAAGGATGCCATGGGCCTGCAACGGGGTTCAGCCCCAGCCCTCAACACTGTCCCTCCAACCACCTCCTCAAGGATAACTAGAAGACAGGCATGAAACTCCTTGTTTTCTCCTTTTAGGAAAATCACTGCTAACAAAAAACCCCCACCACAGCAGGATGCTGTCTCTTTTTTTCCTCTCATTCATTAAAGCATGGAAAGTGTACTTGAGTCACAGCCACCTAAGCACACATTCTGCATGCACCAGCTGTTCACCCCATTCCCCGAATCACTTTTGACTGACCAAAAATCTTGCTAGTCAAGCTAAAAAAATTCACAGCCCATATTTAGGTGGGGAGACTTCTACTGAAAAGCTGGCTGCTTTTACCTGCCATTGTGCCTTTACTTTGAAGGAAACAAGTAATTTTAGTTATTTTGAACAATATCGTAAATAACACCTGAAAAGGCTCAAACAGAGCCAAAGCAAGTAAATATTCTGGCTTTGAGTTCTGTTTTAGTCTTTTCCACACTAAGACTAATATCTTTCTGCTATCATGTGCTTTGCCCACTATGCCGAACATCACAATCCCTCTGCTACGCTGAACTTGTACAGTTCTGCAGCCAGCTGCAAGCTGTTTCCTTCTAGTACCTTTCCCCCCGCACCAAAAAAAACCAACCCCAAAAACACAGACACTTTTTGGAAGTAAAAGCACTAGGCAGCTCCTCATCTCCTGTGTACTTGCATAACCACATTGATTTCAACAGCAATTTAAAGCAGCACTGTATAGGTCACGTTGCTAGTTGAACAGTCTTGAGCTCGGGTGCGCAAGTCCAGCGAGATTTACATCTTCCATCTACCTACAGCCCCAATAGCTCAGACTTAAGATACATGTGCTGCGCTTAGAGAGAGACGAACAAAAGACATCTATGATCAGACTGGGCTGTGATACACACATGCCCAGCGAGATTAGGGCCTAAGCTAGGGTTTGAGTTTCCACCTCAGGAATGCTCCAGGGTTCAGTTCCAACAGCTCGTGCAAAAAGCAGGTTTACAAGGTAGACAGGGAGCTCAGCCACAGAGCCGGCGACTGTCAACTAGCACAGGTTCAAGTGAACACTACAGCTGCGCCGATCATTACTTCATGTTCCTTGGAGTGTGTACAGTGGGAGTACAGCTGGGCTGGGACATGCCTCTGGGATCTGTAGGTGGCACAGGAGCTCTGTGCAGCTCCAGCTTAAGGCAAAAGACATATCTGACCACCTGTATACTTTGGTGGTTCTAAATTGTCCTCCCACCTTATCAGCAATGCAGAGTTTCTCTAGTTTAACTTGGGACTGATCCTGTCCTAGATTCTGGGGGCATGGACTACAACCTGCCCTCATCTGAGCTATGCCAGTAAGGAACAGCTGCAGTCAAAGCCAAACCAGATTGCCAAACTGTTTCTTAATCACATCAAGCTAGTCTTTGACTAGGTTCAGACTCCCACCAAGAAGCAGGAGTGCCCACGACACTCCTATGCACAACTGCTCACAAGTTAGGTCTTGGAAGAACTACCCATTTCTTTTGGAACAGGAGTGTTCCCAGACTCAAAGAGCCTCTGTTCCCCCGATTTGCTAGCAGTGGCAACACTGTGCTGCTGGTAGCATCGACTGTGTGGGATTACTCCACGGGAGCGAGAAATGAGCATGGAGGGAAGTCTCCAAGAGATGTCTGAGTCAGTATCTCTGGGTGGTGTCATCTATACATCATTCTGTACCTTTCACCACAGCAGTAATCTAGCCAATACATTCTCCAACCCCCAAAACAATGACAGATAGCCAGACTTGCTTGCATCACAATTTTCCTTCTGGGTTAAAAAAAAAAAAAAAAAAAAAAAATCCCCTGTGGGCTGAAAATAAGGATAAGAAATTTTAGCCTTAAAGGAAAAGTGAGGGTTCATCCCTCAAGCATCTGAAAGATTACATGGTCTGTGCTAGAAATATCATTTTAAGCGTAACTATTCCCCAAATAATTTGGTGTGCCACATGACTTCTTTTGTTAAGTGTTCCTATTTATGAACAAGAACAGGTGATAAATTTGTGTACCACCATGCTGACTCATAGCTGTAAATTTGTCACTAGTATGCAGCTGTAACGCTAACCGGGGTTTTCCTTGTGTAAAATGTAGTTAGTAGCTAGCATTTGAACTTGAGTAGCAGACCAAGTTCTGCTCAGGTGGTATCTGTGCAAGCTTGGTTACATCCATGAGTTCAGCTAGATACAGCTGAGGTTCAAGTCTGGCTTCACTGATTAGATCAATTAGTTCACTGATTAGATCAATTCTGAACATGCAATAAACACCAGAAATCGTATGCAGAGACTGAGGCTTGTCTGGCACAACAGACTGTGGGTTCCTTTTAGTGTATGTAGGCACGTACATACAGAAGTCTCAACGCCAGGCCCTGCGGAACTTCTTTATTGGAATTTAGCTGCTGAAAAGGGTCTCCAAGCTGACTCTGCGTGAAGATGAGCAAGAATAATTCTGTTTTAACATAATCCAGTGACCACACAAGCAGTCTTAGAGAGACAAAGGCAGCGCAAAGCCTTACTCTGATACTTCCTTGCTTGCTTCCCAATCAGCACATCGTAGAATCCTACTGAAGGCGAGAAGTACGTACAGACCTTGACAGAAAAGTGAAGGGAGGCCCTTGTTGCATCTTCATCTTGATGATAACCTACTCATCAGAGCTTGTCCTGGAAACTCCAGGTAAGTTAAAACACTGCTGCTGACTTTTTGTGTCAACATTTATGCAAAATCAATGGTAGGAGATGAGCTAAATTCCATTATGATGTGCAAATTCTGATCACATACAGAGACACATTGTCACAAAGAAAAGATGATGTCTACAGACTTGATAATAATGTATGGTTCTCCCTCCTTCCAAGTCAAACAGCATCTCTGTTGAAGCCTATCTTATACAAACAAGCACACAAATTTAGGAAAAAAGGAGTCCTACAAAAAAGACGACACCTTTAAGAAAAAACAAATGTGTTGCATATATGCAAAAAGTAAGATGAAGTAAGAGACTTTCTTCTTCTCTTACATAAGACCTGCTGGAAAAGGAAGTCTTTTCAGCTGAACAAGATTCAAACATGTGGCTACAGGTTGCAGTCTGGCCTGAAAAAATCACTACTCCCACCACTTCCAATTTACAAACACACAGTCTTCCTTTCCTTATGCATACCACATGCTCAACTTCCAGTCTGCAAGTTTGGATGATTACAATTCCTCTTCCTCTCCTCTCATGCCTCCCCCCATTTTCAAAGCATTTGTTTCTGCTCAGAGATTGCTTGGTAAGAGATAATCCTCTTCTAGCCAAATTGCCAAATGAATCAAGATAATGCCAAAACAAGTTCAAACATATTTAATCCACAGGTATCATTCAGCCAATATGAAAGACTGATTTGGGGAGTAGTAGACTCACTTATTGGTGACACAGCACAACTGGAGTCAGGCTTCCTGATCTGGTGGTGTATTTTCTGGAGGTGCTGAACAGAAGACAGTCGTATGGAAGAAGTCAAAGTGATCTTTGCAAGCAGAGCCAAGAGCATCTCTATTGCAGACATAGTCCAGCCAAAGAGCAATGAGGACAGTTTTTCTTAAAGAGCAGGCAGATCTTAGCAATGTGAGCTACGCCCCACCCTGACACTCCCACCATAACCAGTTTGGAGGCAGCTTCCGTGCCAGAAACACCATTATCAGCTTCCTAGCCAGAGAAATGAATCCAGAAAGATACTGCTTTTACAAAGAAATACAGCTAAAAATAATATGCTTCTAACGTTGCAAAACAAATTTAGGAGTCATGCAAGGGATTAGCATAGGGACAGAGTTAAAGACTGACAGAGTTGTTTCTTTCCAAGGATGGTTGGAGCAACATTGGATGCTCACTGCATGGCAAGACATTTTTTGCTCTCTTACGTATGGCTTAAAATTACCATTATTTTCCATTTCAGTTTTGTAGTTGACTTAAGAAGTGAGTAAACCTGCTAGGACAGAACTGAAAGCAAGCCATATATCAAAGCATCGGGTAAAAAGAAAAACACTCAAGCACTCATTCGGCAGAACATATAAAACTTTTAAAAAAATACAAGACCTTCTGGCATCAGAGAACCTACTCTGCTAATAACCAAACTAACACAATCTACTTTCCACTACAGGGAAACTCCCTGCCCTTCTAAGAAACGGCCTTACTACATGTGAAACAGGGTCAGCTCATGTAACACATCTACACTCAAACACATTATTTGCGAGCAATTCCCATAGCCCTTTATTCCTCCCCCCGCTTCTTTCTGTATTACAGAAAGTTCTCCTTGCACTCATTTGAGCTACCATGAGTGCTTATCTTTACCTGTCAAGGTCCCAGTTTGAAATCCTTATCTACCACGTGCTTTATTTTGAGAAGACCTTATACACAAGAGGAATGAGGAAGGACTTAAAGCATTTCAGTAAATTGGGAGGGACATAGGCATGCACTCCAATACCTTTAGTTAGGCTGACGTTCTTGACTTTGAAACACATTAGGAACATGTGGTATACGTGACAGCTATCTAAGCTGTGAACAGGCACAGAGGGAAGTGGTGCCAAAAGGACTAAGCCAGTACACCTAGTGTAAAAAAATAAAATAACACAAGCATTTAGATGAATTTGCACTGGTGTTTTAGGTTATTGATCCCATTCACATTACAACTACTTTCAGAACTTTACTTCATGGCTGTGCTAACCTTGGGATTAGAAATGGCAATGAGCATGCACACTGTCTGGCCTGTGCTGGTACAGAGTTTAGACAGCCACGTCCACCTGACAGCATTCATCCCCATGTGTGGGTGGTCTGAATGCCTGCAGTTCCCTGATACAGAAGATTGCGTTCAAGGAGATATCCCTTCACCTGTTAAGTGCACGGTTTGGACACCGAAACCAGACATTACAGAACTTTCAGAGATGTATGAGCTATATACAAATTGTATTACAGAAGCTTCCCTACCTTTTTGTCCTTTTGAATAAAAACAAAAAGTGACATCAATAAACTGATTTTTGACTTAGTATTCTGGACTGTCTTCAAATCACACACATGCAGCCTCGCATTTGGTCTCAGGAGCTACTTCTCCAACTTCCAGAGTCAAGTCCCCCCTCCCTTCCCAAACTAGTACTTCCTGCTAGTACTATTTCTATCTCATGTTTTATCATTTCCTTGTGGCTGGGCTACACAGTTTACCAGTTATACTGATGCAGCTAAGTTTTCATAACTCTTTTTCCATGAAAAAGTTTCTGCACAAGAACAGAAGACACGTGTAGATTCAAATCCAAAGTACAGACGAGGCTTGCAGGCCCAGCAACCACGCCACTAGTAGCCAACTGA